ATGGGGAATTTGATCAAGTGGGATCAAAATGACGCACTCGGAACAAAAGGGGTCCACAAGCCATCACTCACAGCATCGGGGATGGTGCTACTGGCAGCATGATGCCTTGCTGACACGCGTTTGCTTGTGTCGGATCTAGGAAAATAAATTAGTACAAGTATCTTTCCCTTGGTTTATTATCTTTGGTTGGACGTACTTCACGAAGTGAATGTGGTTGCTGGTCGGTTGAAGTACACTCAGATTACACTATGACGTGGCACGTTTGGGTGCGAGAAGCGTCGCGATGAAACATAAAAAAACCATCATTTTGTAAAACCATCATTTTGTACAAAAGGTTATCCAAATGCTTTATTTGTTGGCCTTCTTCTCGTGGATCCACCGGCGAATTTGGTGCAGCTCGAGCTTGCGCGCCTTGACGACCGAGACTGGGTCCAACGGGTTACTAAACATGAGGTCGAGGTGGTGTGCGCCGCCGTCAATCTCGACAGCGATGAGCGAGTCGCTCAGTGACGCCAAGACGCCGTAGCCCGACCACGGGTCGTAGTTGCCATTCGAAAACACAATGTTGGACGAGTACTTGAGGCCGTCGACGCCGCCAAAGACCGTGTTGGCCCAGCGCGGGCGCAGCTCGACGCCCCAGTTCTCGAGGCACTGGGCCGCGTCCCGCGTCTCGTTGTGGAAGCTTACCGGGAAAAAGTCATCGACGCCGTTCTGGTCAAACGGCATGTACATCTCCGAGCACCAGAGGTACGACCAGAAATTCTCCGTCTGGACCGGCGCCGTCGCGTTCCAGTCGTAGCAGCGCAAGGTGCCCGTCGAGTTGAAGAGGACGCCGGCCGCGTCCTTGATCCCATTCAGGAGGCGGCTCGTATCGTTGGCAAAGTCGGGCGCCAAGTGCTCGCACGCCGCACGGTACGGATACCCCGGCAGGTTCTCGGCTATGTAAGACGACGGGTACGGGTAGTTGCCCATCGCAAGGTCGCCAAAGACACCCGTAAACAAGTCGACGAGCGACGTGGCCTCGGCCTCCGTCGTCGGTGCGTAGCAGAGCTGGAGCGCGCTCTTGAGGCTCTGGCGACCCTCGGGCGTCGTCGCGGCCGCCCGCACGGCCGCCGACGCTTGGCGGATGTTGGGCACGCAGTTGGCCGACGAGCCGGCCGCGGGCGTTGCGCCAAACGTCACAATACGGCTAAAAGCTTCGTTGTCAATCGGCGGGGACTCGCCTTCGAACGCGAGAAGCGGCGCTGAGGCGGCGATCGCGCCGTCGACGAGGTACGGGTACTTTTGGCGGAACCACGCGGCGAGCATACCGCCGTACGAACCGCCAAACGTGATGAGCGCGCTATCCCGCGAGACGTTGTACGCCTCCTTGACGTGCTCGACAAGGACTGCGTAGTCGCCGAGGGCTTGCTCGACCGAGAGGAACCGCATGTTCTCCTTGGAGAACGTCCCGTTGAATGGGATCGACTGGCCAAAGTACCGGTGCTCGGCAAAGACGAGCATGGCGCCAAAGTCGGCGGCGTTCTCCCACATCAAGCCCGTGTGCGTCAAGTACATTTCGACGTCGCCTTCGTTGCCCGTGTAGAAGAAGATGGGCCCCGTGCCCGGCGTCCAGTGCTCGGCGCACGCAAAGTAGCGCTGCTGGTACGTGCCATGCGACGCTGTAAAGTGGTCGAGATTCTGCTCCAAGAACGAGACGTTGCAGCGGTCGCGGAGGTCGCCAGTGAACGACTCGGGCGTCACCTTACTCGACGAGCTCAGCGAAAGCGCGGGGAGGTTGGCGTGGGGCACCTGCGGCGACGCCGACGACCCAAGGAGCGCGATTGACACGAGCGAGGCGACAGCGAGGCCGAGTGCCAGTGGCTTGGTGTACGAGGCTGAGGACGGCGCGGACGGCGGGTGCAGCAGCGGTGCAGACTCCATTGTCCTGCGGCTTGGAGAGGGGATGCGCAAGTGGCTGCCATTCCGGCTGCCGGTCATGTGCTCAGATGGCCTTTGCGCTGATTGGCTCACAACAGCCAATCAGAATATAGTGCAATCTCAAAGCTTGAAGCATCCAGCTGCGCTTCGTGCCCTTTCTTGCCCGCACGCCACTGGAGCGTCCGGCACGTCATGCTCGCTTCTAAGCTCTGAGATGTGTCGAGGAGCTGGTCGATCTCGTCGACGAACATCTTGACGCGCTCGTATCTCAACCGATCTCAACTGCTAATATCTCGACTGATGACCGTGGTGGGTTCCGAGGCATTTTTGGTTCCGAGGTCGTGAGTCGAATGCCTTCTTCTGGTCTTCACTGGGGTGCTGTCGTGACGTCATCTTGGATCAATTCGGGGCTAATGGCTGACGCCCCCAGAATGCCGCCACCAGGACGCATCGAAGCCACCGAAGCACCCACCCCGTGATGTGCACTGCTTGGTCCGATCCGTGGCGTTGGGGGCTCCTTCGATTCCCATGTCAACACAATGCACAAGGTGCTCTCGTGGCCCGTCTGACCACACTGCACGCCTGCCGTATACAATCTTACAGTGTCGCTCAAGGACGCCGTGAGCTTGTTCCTGAGGTCAGCACTTCGCGAGTGCTGTGTTTACGCGTACTAGTCGCATGTGCACTATCAGAGGAAGCATCAGAGCGTCGTTTCTTGGGGGTGACTGTCAATGAATGTGTCACTTGCCCGATCCATTTGCGCTGGTGTATGCACGAACACGCTGAATACGTCAATGTCCTTGCTTTGCATCCTTGGGCGTTTTCATTTTCTCCGAACGCGCTTGCTTCTTCCGGCCCCACCGCGGCTTCTGCCACGCACCGTCAACACTGGCTGCATAGAACGGAAGACGTCGTGTCATGAGAATCGTTCGTCGGCTCGGCCGAGGTGAACGTACGGGGAATACCGCAGCGAATAGATCATCGAGCAAACGCATTAGAATACGGTACGACCTCGCGACGCACGACCAGCGAACGCAGACCTTCTCTTCATCGACTAGAAAGTGAGGACTCTTCTTCGGTGGTGGATACATGTCCGGATACGACCCAAGATCGTCCGCAAAAAATCCGACCACCAATCACAACCGGCGCAGTTGTGTTCGAAAATTTGCACGCTCGGCACCGTCGTGTTCAGTTTGCCTTTTCGCTACCACCAGCCACTATGTGCACCGACATCTCGAAGGTCACGCTCATCGTGCTCAACCTCGCGTTCGTCGTCGCTGGCGCGCTGCTCATCTGGGTCGGCGCGTCGACGTCGTCGGGATGGTCCAACATCTTTGAGTCGGCGTCCAACGGCTCGACGACGACCACGTTCAACCTCATCCTCGCCTTTGGCGTGCTCGTGCTCCTCATCGCGTTCATGGGCCTCATGGGCGCGCTCAAGCGCCAGAAGTGCCTCCTCTACACGTACAGCTTTTTCGTGTTTGTCGCGCTCGCGATCTTCATCCTCATCATGATCACGGGCTTTGCCGGTGCGTCGACCGCCAACAAGTGGAGCGACGCCAAGTTCCCGGCCGAGGACGCTGAAAAGTCGGTGGCTGAGGCTTTTGACACGGCGTACTGCGGCGTCATGCTCCAGCACTACTGCGCCGCTGGCAGCCTCGGCGACGCGATTGCCATCTTTTCGCCCTCGACTTCGTCGGCGCTCACGCCCATCATCAAGGCGCTCAACCTCAACGCGAACGACCAAACGGGCCTCTCGGGGCTCTGCAAGAGCCTCAACTCGACGGCGGCGGGCTCGCTCGTCGAACTCAACGTCAAGACGTTCAAGACGATCTGCGACGAGTGCAAGAAGACCGAGGACGTCGACTTTTCGGACCTCTACAAGTGGGGCCAGGACAACTGCCCGCTCACGACGTCGACCGCCTCGTGGTGCCTCTCTTATATTGAAACCAACAAGTACGACACGGCCACCGACGTCGTGTACCCCAAGTGCCGCCCGGCGGTCCTCGACCTCTTCAAGTCGTTTGCCAACAAGATTGCGATCGGCGCGCTCATCTTTGCGATCGCGGCGCTCGTCGTGCTCGTCATGGCCTGCGTTGTCGCGCGCTCGGGCGCCAAGGATGGCTCCATGGCCTAAGTCGATGCGGCCCAACTTTTCACAAATTTCAAAAGTTAAGATAATTCTGCCATGTACAGCGTTGTATGCTCTTCTCCATCAATTCCCACAGCTTCATGGAAGAAGGCAATAGGTGACGCCAAAGATGACGCCATCAAGCAGCATCGCCCTTGGCTCCAGGGGCTGCATGAGGATGCATGCCCGCGGAGCTGCGATGCGCGGCATGGTCATCATAAAGTCGTTTTCATTGGCCAAACCATTTTTGGCCAATCAGACCTTCTCAGCAACCCGTATAAATATATGTGCAATCTATTCAAGGATAGAGGTATTGGAATTTGCCACAGCACCGAGAAGCATGACCCCGTGGGTAGGCGAGTCGATGCTCTTCCTTGAGGTCCTTGGTGATGAACTGACGTGGTCGCATGGAGATGATCCATGTGCTCTATATGACGCTCTTCATGCTTCTGGAGGTCGCCTTCCGCCGCTGCCTGAAGTCGCCATCGACCAGCGACCCGGTCGGCAGCCTCTTCCCGCTGCTGCTGCCGAGCCCACGGAGTACCCGACCAAGCATGGCGCCTGCCTTGAGCATGCTCCGACCTCGCGAGCCGCTGGTGCGAATCGTGCGGCGCGTCCTATGGCAGACGCTCGAGCGACTGAGCGTCCATCGCGGAGCTGGCATTGACGACGTCCTTCGCGACCTCACGGCGCTGCACTTTCGACTGGCGGGCGATCCGACACACTTGGCAGCGTCCTTGCCAACGCTCCGCCAACTCCAAGCCCGCGCTGCGTCTGCGGTCCTGCCCCAAGTCTCCTCGGAGATGACGGCGCTCTGCACGGCGATCGAGGCGCTTGCGGCACCGCCCCAACAAGGCCTCTGTCGCCCCAAGCAGCGCGCCATCCCGCTCTTTCCAGCTGCTGCATGATGCTGCACGTCCGTCTACTGCATGCTGCAATCTTCAGACCACTTGTACAACGTGCAAGCAATATATGAGGTATTAAGGGGCCGCTTGAAGCGTGTTCTCGGCCTCGTCGAGCTCAAGGCACGCGGTCAAGAAGGTCGACGGGCGGCGGTACACGGGCGCGATGAAGACGGGCTTGGCCTGCTTCTTTTGCTTTTCGTGGCGGGCGATCTTGTTGAAGAGCGGGTTCGGCTTGGGAATCGCGATCCGGGGCGCAAACTCACCAGTGCCCATCGTATCGTACCGATCAAGGAGCGCCTTGGGGTACTCGTTCGGGAGCGACGGCGCGAGGTCCGCCGTGCCGAGCGAGAAGGACGCGACGACCGGGTGGTAGTGCTGCCCCAAGAGCGTCAGCTCCCAGCACGCGGCCGCAAATGGGTTACTAAAGTCCGGGTCGTTGACGTCGGCGCGGTAGACACCGGACGCGACGCGGTCCTGGTCGTTCTCGAGCAGCTGGTGCAGCTTGTTGTAGCGATGGAAGAGGCTGCGAATGAGCGCCGAGACCGCGAGGATCTGGTGCGGCGGAAGGTACGTCGAGACGAGCGCCAGACGCTTCACAAACGCGGCGACACGGTCGACCATGATCTCCTTCCTTCGGACAAAGACAGCCTCGACGCACTGGAGCGCAGTCGGGAAGGACGCAACGTTCTCGCCTTCGGCAAAGCGCGAGAGAAGCTTGTAGAGCACGTCGACAAACTCCTTGTCGTCGACCTTGAGCTCCGCGCCGGGGCCCTGGAGCGTCTTGATGCCGGTGAGCACAGCGTGGAACGCCGACTGGAGCGGCAAAATGTCTTCGCGCAAGAGCGTCTTGAGCACCTTCATAAGATCAATCATGATCTCGAGGTTGATCAAGTAGGCGTATTTCGTCAAGCCCTAGTCGACTTAGCATGTCAAGACGACTAGAAAAGGAGGGTACCTCGAGCACGGCAGGCATCGCCGGCGAGTACGTCGAGTTTTTGAGAATGCGAAAGTAAATGAGCACCAGTTCGTGCAGAATGTCCGCCTACACACATGGGAGCGTCCACTGGATGGTCATTGAGGAGCTTTCGTACCTGCGTCTTGTCGCGCTCCGACTTGTCGACGACGGCCTCGGCCTCCTTCAGCCCCGTCACGATCGTGTCACCCTAATGGGCAAGACGTGTAAGGTTTCGGTGTGCGAGGCGACGTGCAGCGTACGTCTTGCTGGAGGCGACGACGCTTCTTCCGGCTCGACTTGGCGACCTTGCGCGCAATCTCACCGGCTTCCATCGTCACGTCGAGCGGCATGGCGAGAAGCGTGCGGATCATGCGTTCCGTGACGCTAGTATGCCCTTGAGACCTCGGGTGCATAAGATAGAGATCATGTACCGGTGGTGACGCTTCTTGACGTAGTTGGACATTTGACGCACGATTTCCAGCGGCGCCACGCCCGTCTTGTCCGCCTAAGGTAATGAAGGTTAGCAAGGACATCCAGAAAGCGTTGATAACGACAGTACCTTGAAGACGGCTTCGAACGCCTCGCACGTCGGGCGCTGGATCGTCATGAACGGCGAGTCGGCGAACGGGACCATGGCGACAATCAGGTTGAGGTTGAAGTTGAACGAAAACTTGACTTTGAGAAGCTCGGCCATGCACTTGACCGCGGTCTCGGCCAGCTCAAACGCAACGACCTGCGCCGAGGTGCGCGACGCCTGGTTCGGGTTGAGCTTCTGGAGGCGGTTGGTGGCCGTCGCGGCGAGAAACTTGAGGAATTTTTGGTACATGTTGAGCATCGAGGCTTCAAACTCCTTCATTTCCTTGACCTTTTTCTTTTGCGGACCGTCCGAGTCGCCTTGGAGGCGGATGCGGTAGTCCGGCAGAATGTCCAGAAGCACCGAGAGCTCCGAGAGCATTGCGAGCTTGCATAGCGTCAAGTCCGTGTCTTCGCACATGGCGTGGAGCTGTTGAAACTTGCTAAAGCTGTCTGGGTGGTCCTTGGACTTTTTGAGTCCGTCTTCGGGCGACTCGAGAATGGCTTCGCAGAGCACCGCCATCTCTTCCTTCTTGGACGCGAGGCGGCGGATCTGCATCGCCTTGAGCTCCTCGGGCGAGATCGACTTGGTCGGCTTGGCCTCGGGCTCGGCCACGTCCGTGATCTCTTCGCACTCGAGGTCCGAAACGTCGCTGCCGAGGTCGTCGCCGTCGTCAGCACCCTCGTCGTCAGCACCCTCGTCGTCCTCGTCGTCTTCGTCGTCTTCGTCGTCTTCCGCGGCGGCTTCCTCGGCCGCGCGCTCCTTGGCGTCATGCGCTTCTTGCACAATGTCTTGCATGAGCTGGTTGGGCTTGACGACGCCGTCAATCGACTTGACGGGCAGCTTGGTCGAGATGTCGACCGGCGCCTTCTTCTCGATGATCGACATGGCGCGCGGCGCGGCCTCGATCTCTTCGAGCGTCTTCATCGGCTTTTGCTTTTGCTTCTTCGTCGTCGACTTCCTACTCATTGCTGCGTGAGCCACGTCGGTGATCAAATATGGTCATTCTACTCGAGGGCGGCGGTGTCCATCGAGTTGAGGAATGATGAGTACTGGCCGTGCGCCTAGGTAGACGCATCAGCATCGTATGTAGCAGCGGGTCATGACGCACCTCGAAGAACTCGATGTCTTCATCGTCAATCTCGATGTCCTCTTCGACCGGTGCGGCCTCGGGCACCGCCTTCTTCTTGGCGCCGCCCTTCTTGCCCTTCTTGGCCGCGGGCTTGGCGTCCTTCTTGGCCTTCTTCTTGAGCCCCGGGTCCTTGTTGTTGGCCGGCGCCTTGCGCTTGGTCGCCGACGACTTGGCCGCCCCCTTCTTGTTGTTGCCCATGGTCTCAAACTGCGCTTCAAGCCATATACCCCAGCGCCCAACAGCCAATCCCTACTCCATACGCATATGATTGGCCAAAAAGAACCGTAATAGCCAATCACATCGCAGCAATATGCAATCTTTTTTTGGCGCTGCCACGTCATGTTGAAACGGGTGCCACTGATCGCACCGTGCAACGAGCACTCGGAGCCTGCTCGTCGAAGGTGCTAAACGTAGCTGCTTTATGCTGGGGTAACGACGCTCTCATGACGCAAGGGTCTTGCGTCCTAGCGTTGCGTCGTCGCACGCGGTTGGGGGCGAGGACTTCCTCCTGGGTGCTCACGCACGAGTATCGCAATGACGACCAGCCAATCAACGGCAACGGACTCGACCAAACACATTATGCTGGCGGGTGTTATTAGTTCTTGAGCCTTACGGCAGCATGTAGACGACTTGGTTTTTGCCTGCAAAGGGGAGAAATGTCGAGTGGATGCGCGGGTCCTTGGCCTTGAGGTATGCAACAAACTCGTCGTAGGTCGCGACTTTGCCATTGTTGCACTCGCGATTTGGGAAGAGTCGGCTCATGACGCAGCATGGCACAACGGCAAATGGCTTGTTGAGACGCAGTGCCATGTCGACGATCGGCTCGGTCGCTTCGTCCGGGTGCATGCCAACGAGGGCCGCGCAGTCGCGAAACAGTGACGCGTGTGTGACGACCAGCGCGTCGTTGAGCTCGGCGAGAATCTAAGTTCGTGCTCAAGATGCAACCACACTACATACGAGCGTACATGGGACCACTTTGCTTTCTGATGTGCTGCCATGTACTTGAGGTGCGCCTTGCGCTGCTTGACGACCCGCTACGCCGCTGTCAGCTCAAAGCAAATGTGGTGTCGGGTACCGGGTCGATGAGCGTTGCTGGAAGGTCGCGCTTGCATACGAGCTCGAACGAGATGTCGCCTTTGCCACCGGCCACGTCGAGCACGCCAGTGCCCGCGCCAAGGGTCGACGCGCCAAAAGTTGCGACGAGCCACTCGGTGAAGAGCGCCGCGCGATGGCTCTTGAGCGCCTTCGAATGCGGGTCGTTCGGGTCCCCGTCAACCATGGCCAGTGCCCGCTTTTGCGCCGCCCGCTTCTCGAGCCACTCGGCGCGAAGCTCGGCGTACTTGTCGATCGGTCTACGTTCTTATTTGAACGACGACGGGCGTGGTGACGACTACGCGTGTACCCGTGGTAAAAATGGCAGCCGTCACCGCGGTCGCACGTGGCATTGCTGAAATAAAATTTGCATGCATTCTGGCCGGCGAGCTGGATCATGTTGTCGTAGCTCTGCTTGGTTGCGAGCGGCGCTGGTACAATATGGCTGCTCGCACCATACTCAAAGGGCGCGCCTAGCAGCAGCAATTAAAATTGAACTTGGAAATTGGTCGAAAATGTGAAAAAAAATCCGAGGACGAGTACCAGGATGCAGTACGTCCCAGCTCGCCACCACGGAATAGCTCTGAATCGCGACAAGGATACGGTCGCCGTTCGACGCCTCGCGGCGCGCCTCGCCCGTCACTTGGATGATGTCGCCGATGTGCAGGTCCCAGTTGAGCTGCACGATCGTCGCTTTCGTCCACGGCGCCTCGCCCGAGTGCGCCATCATCTGTACGAGCTCTGCGCATCACTTGAGCTACATGGCGCGCAATGCAGCCCAGTACCTTTGTCGGCGAGCTCAATGTCACCAAAGAGGAGACCTTTCCTAGCGGTCGTGGAGCGAGAGGTCAACCTTCATCCAAGAATACATGCAGAAGAGGCGTACGAGACGGCGCGCTTGCGGATGAGCTGACCTTGCAGGATGACGCCCGGCGCGATCGCTTCGGCGCCCATCGCCTCCCGGAGACCCTCGCCCGTCGTGATAGCCATTCCCAACTGCCCATCGCTCGCCGACCAATCAACGCGCAGAGGCTGGGACATCCGGTGCCATGCATTCCGAGCGTGCCACGTCATTTTGCACTTGGCTCCAAGCACATTGTTTCTTGAACGGCTCACTGCGAACATACATGTAGAATAAAGGACGCCGCAACAACGACGAGTCCTTGCGGCGACATTTGTACGACCACGCGAATGACTGCGTTTTCCTTATGTAGTACAAAGCGCGACTAGAAGTTTTCATCAAAATCATCGTCTTGTGACGCGGCAGGTTTCGAGACGGAGAGTCTTGCGGACGGCTGCTTCCCCAGGACAGGCTTGGGTCCCGAGGACCGACTGGCCAAAGTGGGTGCCATCGAACCAATCTCCATCTCATCGTCGTCGACCTCAAAGTCCGAGTAGTCGCGCAAGCTGGCGCCTCGGAGCACCTGCACGTGGTGAGCCCTACATCTAGGCAAAATGCTATGTACCCGCTGACCGAGACTTGCGCCTTTGATAGGGGACGCCTTGGCGCGGCCAAAGACGGGCTCTCGGCCCGACGAGGTCTGTGAGCTTTGCCGCATAAAAGCGAGGCCGAGCACCGCTGGGGCTCCAACGACGGGTGCCGCTGCCGGCGTCGACTTGGGTGGTGCGTCCATCGCTGCTGGCTCGGTAGAAGGCACTTCGTTCGGCTTCGTATCGGACTTGGCGTCGGTAGTCTTTGCTTGTGGCTCGGGGCAAAGGGAGAGCAACAGTTCCCGCAGCTAGCCCGATGAAACTCAGAAATCCCATCATGCTGATCGCATGGCATCATCAAACCTTGCGGGCCGTACGGTCGTCCTTTTGTAACTGCGTCAGGAACGCAGTCGAGAAGACCTGGGCGGCGTCGAGAGGGGGGAGGACGTGCTCGGTCACGAGGAGGCTCAAGACCGCGTTGAAGAGGCGCCAATAGTCTACGCCAATCGAATTCTAGTCAGATGCGACAGACAATCTCAACCTTTTTCCTTGTTGCGGTTGGGCTGGTACGCCTTGGTGAGTCGCTGAAGCGTCATTTTACCGACCATAAGGTCTTCAGTAAAGAGGTCTATCCTAACCGTTAGTAAACCCTCAAAAAACGCGAACGTACATGGGCCAATGTCCTGCAGTGCTTCAAGGAGGAGCGCATAACACACGTCGGCCCCAAAAATGCTAATCTTGCGCCCGGTCGTTGCCATTCTACAAACACGCGCGACTCAGTGCATCCAGAGAACAAGACGCACTTGACAAGATCTAGCTTGGACTGGAGGCCAATCGCGTCGGGGCTTGACGTAAAGTGTGTCTCGCCACTTCGAGCGCTTGTCTCGAGCCGATCCAGCAGCTGTGTGAGGAGCGAGAGCCGCTCGGCGTCACTCAGCTTGGCCGTCGCCGTACCCATTTGCTTGGACGGGGATGGCGCCTCAAACTCAAACTCATCGACGCTTCCATCGTCGGCAGAACGAAACCCGGAAGCTGGTACCGGCTCTGGAGAGTCGGCAGCTGGAAAGGCCGACGTCCGCGCGGGTACCGGCGACTCGGCGGCTGGAAATGCTGATGTTCGCGCTGGGACAGGTGACTCGATGGGTGGATCGTCCATGCTAGCTTCGTCGTCGAGCTCGAGATGGAGCGGTGAGCGTTGCTTCGCCTTGGCACTTGTTTCGTGCACAGGAGATGGCTCTACCACTGAGTTTGCAGATCCCGGTGAGCACAAGGTCCTACCGCTCGGATGCTCGTCGGTGACAGTTGGCACGACGACAGGCGCCGCCTCGAGGCCTTCACTTGGCTTGGGTGGTGTCGTGGCGTCTTCCACGGCGTCATTAGCGGCAGTTGGTGTCTCTGGAGTTGGTACGGGGCTCGGGGCTTGCTCGGTACTTGGCAGCGCCGGAGGTAGAGCCTCGGCATTCGGAACGACGGCAGTTGGTTCGAGTGCTGGCAGTGTTTCGACAACGTCTGGCACCGGCAGCGAGAGCACATCGATGACGGGACTGAAGGCGCGCAGTGTCGGGGACGACTGTCGGTGGCTCGTGACGACGGGCGCGTCGCCAAGGTCTACCGACTCGAGTCCAGCGTCCGAAAAGACACTGAGCCGAGACTGTGGCGAGTGCTGTGGGGACGGCGTCTTGGGCTTCTTGATTTGATCCACAGCGCAGAGGACTGTCGCGAGCGTTGCATCGGGCGTCTCGGTGGCAGGGAGTGACGGGGGCGTCACAGATGCTGGGCTCGCTGTCCGCGGACGTGGCACCTCGTCTTCGTTTGCCAGTGGCATCGTAATTGTCAGTGGCACGGGCATCGTTGGTGCTTCCTGTGGCAGCGACGCCACGACAGTTTCCGTTGGCTCCGGTACAGCCGCAACAACGATCGACGGTGTCCATGCCGGTGGGTCCACAGGTATTGATACAGTCGGCGCTTCAGGTACTTGAGTTGGTTGATGCGCTGTCACAACGGGTGCCACTAAAGCCATGGCTGGGACGGCAGGCGCTGGACTCGGTGGTTTGGTCGCCAGCATCTCGGAGTTTGCAAGCACTTGTGCTGGTGCAGGCTCACTTGGCGACGCGACCGCAGGCGTCATGCGGTAGAAGTCGTTCAAAATCGGATCGTCCGTGTCACTTTGTGCTGGCTCGTCGACGACGAGGGACGGGCGCTCGACAAGCGGGGCGGCTTCTTCTGGACGGGAAGCTGCGATTGCAATATGGTGTTGCAATGGCGGAAGAAGAGCCGCAGATGGCTCGACCAGCGTCGGTCGAGCAGCCACGGGGTCGGAGAGAACTGGGGAACTACGCGATCATGAACGAATTGAAATCGCCTGCGTTGTGCACCTCGCCAACGACGGCGGTGGCACCTCGAGAGGCCTACGTTGGCACAAAGGCGCTATGCACGCTGTCACGCTGCTATGGATACGCACGCTGGCGGGCGAATTGAGGCAAAGAGATCGGGCTCTGGTAGCACTGGTAGCGGCGCCTTGGCGGCCGTGTACTTGGTCGCGAGGTGCTCTAATAGGGCATGATGAGCAAGCGGCGACGACCCCTCTGATACCGTAATCTGCCTGCGGGGAGAGGAGCGTTCTGAAATGATCGTCTTCCATGCGCCGGCGCTCGTCCTCGGCTCTCTCGCGGATGGCTTGCTCGAGGTCCATGGCCTCCTTGAGCTTTTGCTGTCGATACAGCTGCCGCTCGTACGTCTCGTTGCGCTCGACGCTCGTTGCCAAGTTGATTTCGTGGACCTATGCCCAGAATATCAACTTGAAACTTTTTTTTCGAGTTGACGTACGGTCTGCCGCAAGAGCGCTTCGAGTCCCTGCTCCTTCTCAAAGCTCTAGACGACAAGAGTAGGCAGCCATTCGCTTCTTGAGAGAGATGGACCTGTTGGGCGACCAGCCGGCGGTACTCGATCTCGTGTTTCTCCTGCTCGAGCTGGCGCAAGCGCTGCATCTTGAGGCGCTGCAGCTCCTCCTGCCACGCGGGATAGACCTCGGTGACCTTGTCGACGAACGCGACCTTGGCCTTCTCGAGCGCGATCGCACCCGGTGTAGGGCGACTCTCGGCGACCGACCGCTGGTACTCACGGAGACTGTCGAGGAACTCGTGGTTCCGCTTCTTGGCGATCACTTGATGCTGCTGGATCTGGCGCTGCTTGCGCTTGAGCATGTCCGTGTAGGCAGCACTAAACTCGGCCATCGTCGCGTCGCGCATCTGCTGCTTCTTCTCGAGGGCAATGCGGCGCGCGACCCTACGCATCATGAGCCTCCGTCGGCCAAGCTATCGCGCTTGCATGTTGCGCTGGCGCGTCTTGAGCTCGACGAGGTGCGCCTCCAGGTCCGGGTGCATCGCCGCCGCCGATCGTGTAAGATACGCTCGAGCCGGTTACGAGCCAAGCCGGTTATGCGATCCATTCGGCTCGACCGATAACCGGTTAAGAGAGCCCAACGGCAATGTGACAAAACCGGTTAGAAAGGGTGATACAGGTGGCGGCAACGCACTGGCTTGAGCGGCCAACGCACCAGCGCACCGCCAGCGTAGATCCATGCTGGCTGTCTGTCTGCATGTGTGGTTCGCAGCTCCAGGCCATAGCGTCGTCAGAGCTGGCAACAGCTTTAGCATACCGCGGCCCGCGCACTCCACCACCGCTGAAGCAACAACCACGATGTGTGCTGCGACAGAGTCTTGGCCGTGTCGGCTTCTCTGTCTGCGCTCAAACCATTTCCAAATTGCCGGGCGGCAGCGCAGAAAATGATATGCAGCCTCCAAAACGCAGCCAGCCGCGTAGTAGCGTAGTAGCGCAGACGCGAGGTGTGCTGTCTGCGAAGCAGCAACCACTGCGTACGCGGGTTGAGCGCCATCGAGGCCGCGTCGCCGCCAGTGTAAAGTTGACAGCACGGTTGAAGGCAACTCGGAGAAGCGAGAACGCGTTGGGATGTTGTGTATCAAAGGAGATCGAGCCAATCAAACGAACGACTGTATCGCGCTGTACTGTAAAAGCGGCGCGGGTGGCACCCAGGCACACATGCGAAGGCTCGGCATCGCAGCTGGTCGCAATTACCTACGCGAATAATATTGGACGTGCACAGAAGTACTCGTCACGAAGGGCATGCCGGGTGTCATCTTGTACGCGGGCGACCCGATCGTGTCACCGGCACCGGCACCGCCGCGCCGACGACCCCACGCAGCGTCGTCGTCGGGTGCGTCTTCGTCGGCGACCTCGAGCGGCCATAGTCGCCGGCGCCCACCGCCGCCGGAAACCGCCGACGTCCGAACCAACTTTACCACACCTAAGCAACCTCGCCCATCGAACAATCTCACACGCCCGTCCAACCTCTCTCGGCCATCGACACTGTCGCGGCCATCGACGCTCACGCCAACGCCCAACCACAACGACGACGACGATGCGATCTTGGGCCACGTGGACGACGCCAACGACTACCCGCTATTGGAAGAAGTGCCCGAGAAGGAGCAGCACGACACGCGCAACTACGACCCTCGGTCCCATCGGACGTTTGTGAGCACGCTCTCGGTCATCATTGGCGCGATCGTCGGTGCCGGCGCCGGCGTCGGTCTCTCGCAACTGCACATGTCTCGCGACAGCCTCCAATGGCTCGCGCTGCCCGGCGACCTATTCGTGCGTGCACTGCGCTGCCTCGTCGTGCCCATGGTGTTTTGCACGATGACCGTCTCGATCGCTGAAGTCGTCGTACTGAAGAAAACCTCGGTGCTCACGTGGCGCACGGCATTCACGTACTTTCTCTCGTCGTTTCTCTCGACAGTCCAAGGCCTTGTCGTCGCCATCGTGTACCGTCGCATGTTTGCCTCAAGCTCCGTCGCGAGCACCGCACCCGCCCCGCGTCTCGTCTTTGCGCTGCAGTGCCGCAACGGTCAGTACCTCGCGGAAAGGGGCACGAATGGCTCGTCGCTTGCGTGCATTGGTGGCAGCGCGAACGAGTCGCTTGCGCAGTTTCAAGTCGCCGACGTCCACGGGCTCCTCACACTCAACACGACGGCACTGAGCGACCTCACGCTCACGCAGCAAGTGATTGGTATCATCAACACATCGGTCCCCGACAACATCTTTAGCGCGCTCGCCGACGGCGCGCTCCTCTCGGTCATTATGTTTGCCTTGCCGCTCGGGTACGCAGTCGCCAAGTCGCACAATGGCCACATGCGCTCGAATGCGCTCTTGAATGCACTGCGCCAAACGCGCAACGCGCTTCTGATTCTCATCAACGCCGTCTTGTACCTGACGCCGATCGCGGTCGTCTTTCTCGTTAGCAGCGCGATCGTCATGTACGGCAACGCGTCGGCCATCATGGCCCAAGGCGGGTACCTCTTGTTGGCGTTCAGCACGAGCGTCGTATTTCACGTGCTTGTGACGATGCCCATGGTCGTTTTTTTGTTTACGCGCACCAACCCGTATAACTACATGCGCCAGCTCTTTCCGGCCTACGTCTTTGCGTTTGGGTGCTCGTCGTCCATGGCGGCGCTTCCGGTCGCCGTCACGGTCATTCACCAAACGCGCCAAGTGTCGCGGTCGCTCGCACAGCTCATCATGTGCCTTGGCACACCTGTGAACCTCAATGCGGGCGGCCTCTACTATCCGGTCCTCGTTGTCTTCATGGCCAACGTTGCTGGCGTCAACGGGCTTTTGGGACCGCCCCAAATGACCGTCCTCTTCTTTGTGACGCTGCTCGGCTGCATGGGCACGGCGCCCGTGCCCAACTCGGGCCTCGCGATGCTCATGACGATCTGGAAGACGGTGCTGCCCAACCAAGCGCTGCCGTCGGCGTTTGTCTACGTTGTCGCGATCGACTTTCTCCTCGACCGCATTTGCACCATGACCAACATCAACGGCAACATGATGGTCACACGCATCCTCGCCGCGCACTTTGACGACGGCTTTGAGTCGTGGGGCCACGACCAGACCGCCATGGTCGAAGAGGAAGCAAGTCGCGCCCGTGACGTCTAGTCGCACGCTAGGTCTACGAGCTAAGGTAGTTGTGGTAGAATCAACACATATTTAAGATTTTCATGCGCTCCGAACCGTTGCTTTTGGTGTGAAACGGTTGGCAGTTACGTGTCCACGAGACAGCGGCTTGCGGCTGCAAATGCTCAAGTGCGAGCATACAATTGGGCAGCGCGACGGCGCTCGAGCGCTCTGCGCCAGTCACGGCACAAGGTCATTTAAAGGTGGGGCGTGGTTATCCTCCACCCAAAGCCTGCCATGACGTGGTCTCGTACCCCAAGAGCGGTCGGTTCGCATCGGTGAGCGGTCGGTGCGGTACCCGGATGGCCGAGGACCGAGCCACGTCGACCGGTTCCATGTCCGTGACGTCTGCGCACGTCGCACCCAGCTGGTGGCCGCACGAAAGAAAGATCGCGACGACGAAGCGCAGCGTCATGATGTGGCTGCAACACGCAGCAACCGTGCTCGCAATCGGCCTTGTAAGTAATTTGCCCCTTTCTTCGTGAGCGGCAAAGGCAAGCACCAGGACGGTGGTACATTGTTGCGGTGCTTCTGCGCCGTCAAATTCGAACGCCGTGGTGCTACTCTAGCGCACGGAGCGCATCATCCGCCAAGTGCACGCCATCGTGTCCGGCCAACGTAGCGAAAATCCACCCTCTCTTCCACTTCTACGGCCCTGCAGGGTAGGACAAAAAGGAGCAAACGAACGATGGGCAACCTCCTCCTGTCTCTACGTTTCTGGGGATTACAAATTGAAGCGGTTTGCTATGTCACCCCTACCCCTGATGGCATCTCTAGTGCTCGGAAGTAATCCAGCGGCGCGATGGAAGCTTGCATCGGGCGCATGGCACATTGTGGACGCGAGTCATGTCAAGTTTTTTTTTTTTTAAAGTTAACACACGATATTGTCCACGTAACACATATAGAAAGACGGCGCAAAGTACTATTTCGATCAATGTTCGTCGCCCGTCTCGTTGGGCTCGTCGTAGTGCGCGGCCAAGATCCGCGTCGCAATCATGTTGCCGTAGACGTTGGTTGTCGTGCACATGCGGTCGACGAGAAAGTCGACGGCGACGACGGTCGTGAACGCCTGCTGCGGAAACGCCGTCGACGTCGCCGTCTTCCAGACCGTCATGAGCATGACCAGCGCCGCATTCGGCACCGGCGCCGTGCCCATCGAGCCGAGGAGCGACACGAAGAAGAGGACGACCATTTGTGTGATGCCAAACGAACTCGAATTGCCCGACGCGCACGCAAGGTGGACGGCCATGACCGGGTAGTACAAGCCCGCGGCGTTCTTGTTAACGGCGGTCCCGAGGCACATGACGAGCTGCGAGACTTGGCGCGACACTTGGCGCGTCTGCTGGACGACCGTGACAGCGACAGGAAGCGACGCCATGGACGACGAACTGCCAAACGAAAACACGTACGCGGGCACGAGCTGGCGAATGTACGTGTACGGTTGAATGCGCGTCGTGAGGAAGAGCACGAGCGGCATCACAATGAGCACGTGGCTAAAGATGCCGCTGGAGAAGGCGAGGACGAGCCAGCCGGCGCGCGAGATAAAGGTCGTCGCGGTCGTACCGTAGCTGCCAATGGCACCGCCAATGAGCGACACGACTGCGATCGGCGTGAGGCGCAAGACGGCGTTGAGAAACATGAGGAGCGCGTTTCGCACTTGGCGAAGCAGCGTGAGCAAATGGTTGTCGTCGCTGTTGCCGAGGTGCGACTTGGCGACTGCAATCCCAAAAGCGAACGCAAAGACGATGATGCTCAGAAGCGTGCCGTCCGAGAGCGCGGCAAAGATGTTGTCCGGTACCATGAGGCTGATGGTCGCAATCACTTGGTCGGTGAGCGAGAGCTGCGCGTACTGCGAGTTGAGCGAGAGCACCTTGTTGATGTCCTCGACGATAAAGTAGTTGGTGCCGTTGGCTGCCCCCGCCGACGCGCACGCGACCGACCCGTCCGGAAATTGATGCAGCGTCTCCTTGTTGGCGCACGTGAGCGTAAAGTTGAGCAAGTGCGAGCCGTCGGTGCCCGTCTCGGCGGCGCTCGACCCGTCGACGAGGAACTTGTAAATGAACGCGACCAGCATCCCTTGCACCGTCGCGAGGAACGACGTTAGGAAGAAGACGCCCGCTGTCCGCCACGAGAGCACGGACGTGCGCTTGAGGACGACGACTTCGGCGACCGAGACTGCCATCGTGCAAAACACCACAGGGACAATGAGGCACTGCAGCGCGCGCACAAAGAGGTCACCGGGCAGCTGCACCCACTGCATGACCCCCTCTGGCGTCTTGAGGTAGGCGAGCAGAATGCCAACGCCGACGCCGACCGCGCAGCAGATAATGACAGCAATCGAACTCACGAGCGGCGCGTTCGTGCGCTGGTCAAAGCCGCCAGCGCCGCGCGCCATTTGCTTGTTGGGCTCCTCCATGATCGGGTCTTCGTAGATGAGCTGCGTATCGAGGGGCGGCGTGCCCGGGCCCATCGCGTCATGCACGCGGTGGTTGTTGGTCGTAAAGTTGGTGCGAAGGCCAACGTCGTACGGCGCCGGCCCACGGCTGCCCTTGGACCCCGCGGACGACGGCGTCGGGCCCGAGCTAGCGCGGCGCGAGGCGCGGTATGGCGTGCCATTGTCCGACGGCGTCTCGTCGACAAAGAGGTAAATGCCTTGGTTTCGCTGCTTGTCCATGAGCACGGTCGCGTCCAAAGTGCAAGTTAAGAAATGCGGCTCGGTCCGTCCCACGGCGATTTCGCAACCAAGATGGCGCGACAAACATATGGTGGCGACCCTGGGTGGAACTGCCTGGGCCATGAAACACTCACATGGCTACGTTGGGCGGACCACTCTTGCTGCTCCTGGGTGAGATGTCCTGGCCTTGCCCCGTATCTTTTGACCTTACCCAGAACGAACCAAGGCGCTTTGGTGCGCGTGTGCATTGCCGGGCCAGAACGCATCGTCGATCTTATTGTACGTAGATGCGCCGACTGCCTGGTCGCGTTCGTGCATATTACTTGTATATGTGCGCACCACGGACGCAATCGTCTCGTCGTATGTCGGCGCGTACCGAAGGTTTGATTCTTGTTCGGTGTCTTGTCTGGTCGCTCGGGAATTAGACACGCTGGCCATGGCCGTCATCACGCCCATGATGCTTCTTCGTATTTCTGCCCAGGACCACTCCTGCATACCTGAGACCCACTGCACGACTCTACGGACAACGTCGATTCCCATTTTCTGCATACGTCCTACTGTGTTGGCCCGAGCAGCTAGCCAAGTAATAGCAACCAAAGCCATTCCCAAATGCCGACAACCGGCCGCTTTGCGTTTGCACTTGAGGTTCAACGACAGGGTTACTCGTATTGGATAGATAGCACAACAATACACACGCGCAAGTAGGATGCTGACGACGATCACGGCACTTCTTCGGTGACGGCTTCAGTTCGATGCGCCGCTTCGTCGCCCGAGCACGAGCTGCTCGTGTCGTCGAAACGAGCGGCGAGGATTCGGGTGGCGACCATGTTGCCGTTGACATTGGTCATGGTGCAAATGCGATCAAAGAGAAAGTCGATCGCGACGATATAGACAAATGCTGATGGCAGTGTCTCGTTCGGAAACACTGTCTTCCAGACCGTCATGAGCATCACAAGCGCGGCGTTTGGGACCGGCGCTGTGCCCATCGAGCCCAAGAGCGAAACAAAGTAGAGCACGACGAGCTGCGGCATTCCGAGTGTGTTGCCCGACGCAATGGCAAGAAAGGTCGTCATGAGCGGGTAGTACAAGCCCGCCGCGTTCGTGTTGACGGGCGTGCCCAGGCACATGATCAGTTGGCCAAACCCCGGCGAGACTTGGCGCGTCTGGTGAATCACCGTGACGGCAACCGGGAGCGTCGCCATGGACGACGAGCACCCAAACGCAAAGACATACGCCGGGAAGAGCTGCCGGAGGTAGTTGTACGGGTTGATGCGCGTAAAGAGGAAGAGGAGGAGCGGCAGCGTCACCAAGACGTGGCACGCGACGCCGCTGATAAAGGCGAGCGCGAGGTAGCCGGCTTGGGACACAAAGCTCGACGCGTTCGAGTTGTACGACATGATGGACGAGCTCACGAGAAAGCAAACAGCGATCGGGGTCATGGCGAGCACGGCGTTGATGAGCGAGAGAAGCGCATTCCGGCTTTGGCGGAGGAGGTTGAGCAAGGCGTTCGTACTGGCGGCGCCCGAGTGCGACTTGGCAACCGCGACGCCGAGCGGCAGCGCAAACATGATGATGCTCAAGAGCGATCCATTGGCGAGCGAGTTGAAAATGTTGTCCGACACCATCAAGTTGATGATCGCAATCACTTGGTCGGTGAGCGAGAGTTGCTGGAACTTGCTTTGGATGTTGAGCACGTTGTTGATGTCGTTGACCTGATACAAGGCTGCGCCAGTCGCGTTGGGCTCAAAGCACGCGACCGACCCGTTCTCGGCAGCGCCGAGGAAGAGCCCGTTGGCGCATTTGAGCCCGATGATTGCGGCATTGCTCGACGCCGAAGCCGCTGCAACCGCGTTGGGTGCGCTGTACAAGGCTCGAAACACCATAGCCACAATCATGCCTTGAACCGCCGCGAGCGACGACGTGAGGAAGAAGACGAAAACGGTCCGGAGCGTCAAGACCGACGTCCGGTTGAGGACAATCACTTCGGCGATCGAGACTGTCATCGAGCAAAAGACCAGCGGCACAACGAGGCACCGGAGCGCGCGCACAAAGAGGTCGCCGGGCAGCGCGATCCATTGCTCAACGTCACGGCCAACGTCGAGCTTGGCCAGCAAGAGCCCGAGACCAATGCCGACGGCAGCGCCAATGACGACCGCGATCGAGTTGACAAAGACAGAGCTCGAGCGCGAGTCAAAGTTGCCAGCCGCGAGGTGCTTGGGGTCATGCTCCTCGAGAATCGGGTCGTCGTAGATTAGCGGTGGTGTGCCAACGCCCTCTGGCTGATTCCGCGCTGAAAAGTTGGTGCGCAGACCGAGCGGCTCAGAGGGCTGCGGCGCTCGGCGGTCGCCGCTTGGACCTGTGCTGGTTGACGAGACCGACCCGGGCGTGGTATGCAAGAGGTGGTGCCCGATCGGCGCCGGGGACGGCTCGGTATGCGGTGCATCGTTACTGTAGTAGAGGTAGATGCCTTTTTCTGGCATGGCGACGGGTTCGAATCGAAATCGACAATGAGCCATCAGCTGCTACGTACGCACGAGGCAACTCGAAACGAAAGCAGAGGCGCTGGGAAGAAATGTCATGTGCCCTTGTCGTCACGGGAACAGCAGGAGGAGGTTGCGTTCCCGACCAGCTCCTCAGCTGAGAATTTCGACGGCCGATGGCCCGAGACAAAGCATCGGGTGGCAACGTTTCCGCGCTTAAACGGAAAAGCGGACTCTAGATTTCGCAAGCACTGGACCGCTCACCTGGTCTGGCTTGCCTGTCATGTCTGATCACGAGTTTGACTTGACACCTGCTCATGTCACCTGGGAGATGCTTGCCATATGCTGCACGCCCATTGGCTTGGACGATACCACCTGGGTTTGTCCTGCCTCGGAAACACATGTTGCGCTTCAACGAACGACACGCGCAAAAAGATCGGCAGTGCGCGACTGACCACCTTCTTCTTTTTTTGTTTTCTTCGTCGAGTCGAACGACGTCTTGCCTGCGACTTGCCGCACGGGATACCCGAGTGTCCGTGTCGAACGAGGTAAAGGACGGATGAACGAATCGGTGTGCCAGAAGCGCAGGCTACGACGAGATTACACATTGACGCATACCCGTGGTAGGAAGAGCGAACTTCGTGGTGCCTTTGGAAACCGCGAATGCGGC